GAAGCAGCAGCCCAGAAGTTATGTCACAGCCTGGATGAGATGTCGACTGTCCTCCTCTCTCCTTCGGTCGGCTTTGCTCTGCCTCAGGGGAACGAGAGCTTCTGCCCCTACTCCGACAACTGCTGCAGATATCGACTATGAGGCTACAGTCACTGAATGCCGCATGGATCTGCAGCTCAACTAATTTAACACAGATAGTATAGTTGCTTATGTATTAGGATATTTAATATTAAGGTAAATAAATGGTGGCGAAGGTGTGGCTATTGGGGAGGCTGGAGGCCACGTAGTAGTAGTAGTAGTAGTAGTAGTAGTAGTAGTAGTTATTGAACCAGTAGGGCCAGAAAATCGAACGAGAAGGTTGGTTACACTAACATACACTTCTAAAAATCTCTGTGCGTGGAGTTACACTAACATACACTTCTAAAAATCTCTGTGCGTGGATATGTCTGTTAATGATCAACTAACACTTATTTAATAGACACGAGTTATCTAATCCTCACCATGAAGGTCTTTCGCTGAGCGTCTCTGGTGATATAAGATAAAATAAAGCACATAGTGGGTAGCTGCCGGGCGTGTGGTGACATCATCGCTTGCCCATCATAGGGTCCCACTCCACACAGACAGCTACCGCCTCGAACCAGTTTTTTTCCCGCCCTTCACGCTAACACCCTCCCCTACTGCATAATTACGGAACCTACACAGTGTTTCTGGTTGTTCAAGGGATAATGTAGCCTAAGGTTATATTATATTAACATGTTAAGAAAAGGTGTGCAGTGTCACCAGTTACTATTTTGATTCAGGTAAAAAGTTAACTGTTCATATGCCACTAAATAATGTAACACAGAAATGAACGTTATTTTATTTAGGAGGGTGAGTGAGTGAGGGAGGGAGAGGTTTGTCTATATATCCAGTATGAAGTTCTGGAAATCCAAGGTAATACCAAAAGATACAGAGTGAAAGTGTTGGTTGATGTTTCATAAAATTCATGATGTAACTGACCTCCGAGGGAGACTACACACACACACACACATACCCTTGATATATATGACTGGTTTAAGACTATCTGGAACCCAAAGCTCGTAGTGGCAGGTGGTATCAAGAACGTGACTCGGGCACTAAGACGGATCGGGGTCTCACGGTACTTGATTTAATGTTTCAGAATGTAAATATTATCACATTCCGTTTTGCTTCATTTCTGTCACCCATCCTTGAATATTGTGCCCGTTTGGTTTTCAGCTGCAGTGTAATTAAGGTTTTGAATATGGCCGATGCTTTGTGATGCGGAACCAAGCCTCAACTCACACAAGCCTAACTTAACACCCCGAGTATGTAGGCCTATCTCCAGGCTGTCCAGGCAGAATTTCCAGGTTAAGTGGCCATTTTTTTTTTATCGTGACCCAGTTTTTTCGATATATTTACCAGTTTGTTTCCAGTAAAGGCATAAGAAACCCAATCCACCACCTTCGAGCATGTAAGCGTTTCTATATAACGACACGGGACAATACCGCCCTAGAGCCGAAATGCACAACTGCATAAATTAGTTTTGACCAAGAATTCCTACCAAGACCCCCATCAGGTGACAACTGTAAATGATTAGTTTATGTTATGTAAGTGTTACATTATATTACATTAGGGTTGTGTTTGATTAAGTTAGGTAAAAGTGAGCTAGGTTTAGATTAGGCTAAGACCTTAGATGATAGTTGGTTAAATTTGGGCGCTGGGTTAGGTTAGGTTAGGTTATGTTAGACCAGGACACTATAGGTAAGGTTAGGTTAGACTAGATTATGTTATGGGAGGTTAGGTTATGTTGTTAAATTAAATTAGATTAGGGTCACAAAAACGCAGACATCTTAAAAACATAGCAGAAAAAACTGACATTTTGGTAGACTCCAGGCGATTCGATAAAAAGTGTATGAAACTGTCTACCTGTGTGGGCTTTCTGTATACCTTAAATTTGTAGTTTTGGCCATTTCTCATGATAAGCATATCAAGGAATGGAAGGGATCCATTTATTTCTCTTTCAATTTTGAATGTGATACTTGGGACAATATCATTAAGCTTGTCTAAAAATTCCAATGGGTCACTGTTTCTAGGCCAAAGACAAAGAACATCATCTACATATCTATACCATACTGATAATATGTTACATAACTTTATTTGTCGGTGGCCCAAGGTTAAAAATCTTTGGAAACCTTTGATCTAGATGTATGATAGTTATTTTGTGGGTCCCTTATTTTTGACCTGACCTGACTAGTCACGTCACCCCCCTTCTCTTAAGCTCCTCTACGTGTGTGTTGGTGTGGGGATTAGTGGATGACATCATTATGACCTGACCTCATGTTTTTAAGGTCACCCTGTATATTTAAGCCTCTCTCTGTCCATGTAATCCAGTTGCCTCTGAAGATGTCTTGAATAAAGACGAAAGCTAAGGTGCTCCGTTGTTTCCCTTTTCCCGTGTGATTTTATCAAGATTTATCTTATCCACGTTTTCATTGTGGATCTACATGATATATATACACACCTTGAGGTAGGGGGCCCCGAGTTGATCTGTGCCTCAGGCCCCTATTAAGCTTAATCCGGCCCTGATTCCAGTGACAAGTGATGGATGGTTAATGTATTGACGATTACAGAAAAAATCATAGATGAATTTTAAGCAGGCAGACAATATGAGGCAACTTTTATAAACAGACAAATATAAAGAGGTTATTTTTATGTACAGACAGACAGACCAGATGATGTGTCTATCGTTTATCCGGGCTGAGGAGATGAACTTGTTGCACCCAATGAGGAGCGGTCATTCCACCCCCTCTGAGTCTAATTGTCACGTCCTGTGTGTCTGTGTGGTATTAGGTACATACCAAGGATAATACCTCTCCCCTCCACACACACGGTCACACTCACTGTATATAGGTTAGGTAAGGATTTTATTGATCACTATAGGGACAGATGCTCAGATTTGGAAAGAGGACTCAGCACAGATCCGGAGTGAGAAATTCAAAACAAATTCTGAGTAGATGGAGTATGTTAAGAACTACCTAAAAAATAACACCATCGGCCAGGCTGTGACTATCGTGTAAAGAAGGCCGTTGAGAAGGCTACGAGCAGTAATCAGTACAGAATTGATGGTTAGTGTATCACTTAACAAATTTGAGTTTTGTATACTTCTGGTCCGCTACATTGGATAATCAACTCTGCTCACTATTGAACAAATTGGCGCCCAATGAAAAAGTCTAACTAGGCTCATTCAGACCACCATTTTTACTTTTTCTTTCAGAAACAGGAACTCTATTTTACCGAGCACCAAATTCAGGATTATGGCAGAGAATTACAACTTCAGAAGAAGAAAAGCAGAGTATTTTTTTGAACTGCCATGCTGCACCATCTGCTGGGCACAGTGGTATTGTAGGGGAGAGATCCACTACAATACAACATAACATCACGTAACCCTACAGCATTAATACCACAACTGAAAAAAATACCCAGCTGTATTACTGGAAGGGTGTAAAAGAAGTCAAAGATTATGTAAGCTCCATTATCTTATTTTAATACATTTTTACACTGCAATAGATGTTCTTATTAAATTTCAAATGTAAAATTATAAAGGGTAAAAAGAATTAATGATGAATTGTAGCAGTTCTTCAGAACACCTCCAAATGGCAAGCGCTATTGTCGTGCCACATGTACGTGCTCTGACCTCAAACATTTGCAAGTATCGGTGTACAGTATTGGCACTATGATAAACAGAATATACAAAGTTAAAAAATGATTTAATGAAGTACATGTGAAGAATTAAATGAAAAAATGAAAAATTAGCAGAGTCAATATATATACATAAGATTCCCAACTTCAATGCGCTTTCTAGCAACTACGATTTAAACCCCCTCATTAAAGACATTATGGTTAAAACTTTAACATAAGAACATAACAATGGAGGAAACTGCAGCGGGCTTATTGGCCCATACAGGACAGTCCCATTTACACCCAACCCCTATTGCTCATAATATCCATCCAACCTGTGTTTGAAGCTATCCAGCGGATTGTGTTTTCTTTTAAGATCATTTAAAATGTTTCATTGTGTGTTTCAGTTGTCATTGCTTTTATTTAGTAACCGTAATTTAAATATCCTGAGGTGGCATGTTTGGCACATTTTTTTTACATTTAAACCTGATTATATATTATATTATACTATTTTATTTAACTGATGAGGACTGCAGTTGTCAGTCGAAATGTTTTAATTTTATTGCAATTTTTAGTTTTATGATTCACCTGTACTTCATCAAAGCATAGCAGTGGCGAGGTGTTGAACAACTCGTACCCAATTTACGAGACAGTTCGTACCCATTCATATATATATGCTGATAACCACAAGGAAACAAGAAAACACTCCTTATTAGAAATAGTGATTGAACTAAGGATGCCAATCACAACTGTGTAGTGAATCTCTGCGCTAAACAACTTGTGCCCTCGGCTATGGTTTAAGTTTTGAGTGAACCTGAGCGTTAGTCCCCCAAATTTATTATTCCTAATGATTAAACACCTTAATGCTACCTGGTGAATTAGGTTAAGTGAGGTTTGGTTAGGTTAGGTTAGGTTAGGTTAGCAGTAAGGTGTTATAAAGATGAAATTGTTTACTCTAAGTTATATAAATAATTGGCTTAAATTTTCCAGTGTTTTTCCTTCAGGTTAAGGCTACTTACACACTTATCTGGGGTGTGTGTGTGTGTGTGTGTGTATGTGTGTGTGTGTGTGTGTGTGTGTGTGTGTGCTTTCCTTTCTTACTTTCTTCACTCATCTTTTTAGTTCCCTACCTACTCTCACCACTCTCTCCCTTATTTCTTCACATCTAACTCTCCCTCCCTACTCTCACCACTCTCTCCCTTATTTCACATCTAACTCTCCCTCCCTACTCTCACCACTCTCTCCCTTATTTCACATCTAACTCTCCCTCCCTACTCTCACCACTCTCTCCCTTATTTCACATCTAACTCTCCCTCCCTACTCTCACCACTCTCTCCCTTATTTCACATCTAACTCTCCCTCCCTACTCTCACCACTCTCTCCCTTATTTCACATCTAACTCTCCCTCCCTACTCTCACCCGTCCTTCTTCATCAGTCGTGTCACTTGAGGGAGATGGTTTGTTTGATCCAAGGAAGGTAATTGACCACCTTAGTGTAGACGCCATAACTGCCTTCATCTCCACAGCCCACGCCGAAGGAGGTGACGCCATGCACTGACCATATCCCTTCTTCGTCCTCACAAATGAGCGGCCCTCCTGAGTCACCTGGGAGGGGAAGAGGTGAGTGAAGTAAGTGGTGAATGTGGATGACGTAGACACACACACACACATATTTAAGTGACCAAGACAATAAAATGAAGATAGTTGTTGTGTGTGTTAAGTCCTAAAGCACAATACTGACATCATGCTAGACTCTTCGCTAGTGTCATACCTCGAGTGAATCAGATATGTCTTCAGAGCAACAGTTATGGGGGATATATATTTAACAACAGAACCTTTTAAGAATAGGGAAATTAACCCTTAAGATTGACCCTATATTATACAAGATAGTACCTCAGGTCATCTATAACACAAGTCATGACCTAATAAAGTTTCATATTTAGACGATGAGAACTAAAGTATGTTACCAGAGCAGGTGTCAGTGGAACCTCTCTTGTAGCCGGCACATATGTGGTTCCGGGTGATGGGGTGTTCAGGGTAGGCTTTCCTGCACGTTGATCTGCTCACTATGGGTATCTGCCAGAGAGAGATGCTGTTAGTGGTTGTGAAGGAAGGAAGGTAGGGGGGGAAGGAGGGTAGGGGGGGGAAGGAGGGTATGGGGAGGTAGGGGAGGAAGGGAAGAGGAACGAGAAGAAAGACTGACATACTACAGAAGCAGAAGAAAACACAATATTAATCACCCTTATCTGACCTCCACAACCTACTCACCCTGGCATAGTTGAGGACATCAGAGGTGAATATGTGAGTCTCTCTCTCCTTGCCCCAGCCCGATACGATACACTTATTCCCTACAGGAGGCAATGACCCCTTCTGCGGTAGACAGGCACTTCTCATGTGTCTGCTGAATGTCACCTCCTGTGGCAGCTTCAGGAGTGCCAAGTCGTGTTCTAAAAATTCCGCATCATAGTTGGGGTTCTGGTAGGACTTTTTGATCTGGTGGAGAAAAACGGTGCAAGGTGTGAAGGACTTGTCTAAATCACACACACACACACACACATACACACACACACACACACACACACACATATCAAAGCACCAAGTAAACATACCTTCAACTCTATCTCATGAGGAGTGTAGTCTGTTATGTCAAGTTCTCCCAACCGCACATAGAGCCGTTTACGGACACAGTGAGCCGCAGTCAGGACCCACTGAGGTGCTATGAGGGTCCCACCACAGAAGGTCTCCTGCAGGAAGGATGAAAAGACTCAGTTATGAAGGACTCTCTCAAATATACCTTTGTTGGTGTTACATTAGGCACACACACACACACACACAAACACACACACACACACACAAACACACACACACACACACACACACACACATTCTCAAATTCCTAAACCAACCTCTCCAAACTTACTCCTGTACAAAAGGTTATCCACACTACCTTACCTTGAATCTATTGAGTACAGCCACTTGCCACGGCCACTCCCCCTGCCTCGCCTCCAGACCTCCTACGATCTTCATCCAGGTGTCGCGGCTCTTGACACTCCGTCTCCCACACCTGCCCTGCTGAACCTCTTGTTCTTGGTGTCCTTCTTGCTCTAAGTACTCGGTCCAGCCTGTAATATGAAGTAATATAAAGTTATGCTGTTCTATCTATGTGATGTTATGCTGTTCTATCTATGTGATGTTATGCTGTTCTATTTATGTGAAGTTATGCTGTTCTATCTATGTGATGTTATGCTGTTCTATCTGTGATGTTATGCTGTTCTATCTATGTGATGTTATGCTGTTCTATCTATGTGAAGTTATGCTGTTCTATCTATGTGATGTTATGCTGTTCTATCTATGTGATGTTATGCTGTTCTATCTATGTGAAGTTATGCTGTTCTATCTATGTGATGTTATGCTGTTCTATCTATGTGATGTTATGCTGTTCTATCTATGTGATGTTATGCTGTTCTATCTATGTGATGTTATGCTGTTCTATCTATGTGATGTTATGCTGTTCTATCTATGTGATGTTATGCTGTTCTATTTATGTGAAGTTATGCTGTTCTATCTATGTGATGTTATGCTGTTCTATCTATGTGATGTTATGCTGTTCTATCTATGTGATGTTATGCTGTCTCTATCTATGCTATGTTCTATCTATGTTATGCTGTTCTATCTATGTGATGTTATGCTGTTCTATCTATGTGATGTTATGCTGTTCTATCTATGTGAAGTTATGCTGTTCTATCTATGTGATGTTATGCTGTTCTATCTATGTGATGTTATGCTGTTCTATCTATGTGATGTTATGCTGTTCTATCTATGTGATGTTATGTGCTGTTCTATCTATGTGATGTTATGCTGTTCTATCTATGTGAAGTTATGCTGTTCTATTATGTGATGTTATGCTGTTCTATCTATGTGATGTTATGCTGTTCTATCTATGTGATGTTATGCTGTTCTATCTATGTGATGTTATGCTGTTCTATCTATGTGAAGTTATGCTGTTCTATGTGAAGTTATGCTGTTCTATCTACGTGATGTTATGCTGTTCTATCTATGTGATGTTATGCTGTTCTATCTATGTGATGTTATGCTGTTGTATCTATGTGATGTTTATGCTGTTCTATGTGATGTTATGCTGTTTTATGTGAAGTTATGCTGTTCTATCTATGTGATGTTATGCTGTTCTATCTGTGAAGTTATTCTGTTCTATCTATGTGATGTTATGCTGTTCTATGTGAAGTTATGCTGTTCTATCTATGTGATGTTATGCTGTTCTATCTATGTGATGTTATGCTGTTCTATCTATGTGATGTTATGCTGTTCTATGGCTGCTGTTATTAATAAAGTCACCGAGAATAAGGTATTAGTGACACGTAAATAATGTTAGGTATTACGTTAAGGTAAATGTCTTAGCTCAAGCCACCCAGTCACCCACCCAGCCAGTCAGCCACACTCAATCAGCCAGTCACTACTCATCACATCATTCACCACCACCACCACCATCAATTCAACCACACCACCACACCATCCAACCATCTCACCACTCATCCAACCACCTCACCACTCATCCAACCACTCACCACTCATCCAACCACTCACCACTCATCCAACCACTCACCACCATCCAACCATCACCACTCATCCAACCACTCACCACTCAATCAGCCAGTCACTAATTACCAACCACTCACCACTCATCAACCACCACCACTCATCCAACCACTCACCACTCATCCAACCACTCACCACTCATCCAACCACTCACCACTCATCCAACCACTCACCACTCATCCAACCACTCACCACTCATCCAACCACTCACCACTCATCCAACCACTAACCACTCATCCAACCACTCACCACTCATCCAACCACTCACCATAATCATAATCGTCACTCTCAATGTCACGTCCACTCCCGGAATGTAGTTCGTTCTCCACCGGCTCGTCCTCCACCAGTTCGTCCTCTACCAGCTCGTCCTCCACTGGGTCAAATACATGGTGGTTTTCGTCATAGTCATCCACCACGTAGTCATCCACCACGTAGTCATCCACCACGTAGTCATCCACTGCGTAGTCATCTTCTACCTGCTCGTTCTGTACTTCTGTGATCAGGTAGTCCAATACCTGTTGTAGATATAATGACAGGTGTTGAAGGTATGATGATGTTATAATGACAGGTGTTGTAGGTATGATGATGTGTTATAATGACAGGTGTTGAAGGTATGATGATGTTATGACAGGTGTTGAAGGTATGATGATGTTATAATGACAGGTGTTGAAGGTATGATGATGTTATGACAGGTGTTGTAGGTATGATGATGTGTTATAATGACAGGTGTTGAAGGTATGATGATGTTATGACAGGTGTTGTAGGTATGATGATGTTATAATGACAGGTGTTGAAGGTATGATGATGTTATGACAGGTGTTGAAGGTATGATGATGTTATGACAGGTGCTGAAGGTATGGTGATGTTATAATGACAGGTGTTGAAGGTATGATGATGTTATGACAGGTGTTGTAGGTATGATGATGTTATGACAGGTGTTGTAGGTATGGTGAGTTATAATGAGAGAGAGAGAGAGACTTTACCTTGGTGTGACCTTACCAGACCCAGGGACGTAACAATAAAGACTCCTCCTGTATCTCTGGTTCCTCGCCACATATATTAGAGGTCATTACATTCTCTCTCTGGGCAGAATGGAGGTGAGGAGGTGAGGCGGGGGTCATATATGGAGTTCAAAAGGTCAGGCAGGGGTCATATAGAGGTTCAAAAGGTCAGGCAGGGTCATATAGGGGTTCAAAAGGTCAGGCAGGGTCATATATAGGTTCAAAAGGTCAGAGCAGGGGGGTTATATATAGGTTCAAGGTCAGGCAGGGTTATATATGGGTTCAAAAGGTCAGGCGGGGGTTATATATGGGGTTCAAAGGTCAGGGAAGGTTTAATAGGTCACGTTAGAGGTTAAAATCATGTCAAGGAAGGTTTAAGGCATCACTTTAGGGGTTTAAATCATGTTAGTGAGGGTTTAATAAGTCATGTTAGTGGACTTAAGGGTTCAAATCATGTCAGGAAGGGTTTAAGGCATCACGTAAGGGATCAAATCGCATCAAGAAAGGTTTTAAGGGGTTCAAATCATGTCTCTATCTTGATTAGCAATGGAAGGTAATGTACATATATATACTGCATTACGCACTATATGCATTTAACCCTGACCTGACCTGACCTAATCTGACCTGACTCTCTTGGTGGTGCAGGAGCGGGTACAGGGCCCCCAGGGTGCCTCATCGTCGTACAATATGGAGAAGAGAACAGAGATGTCATGGTTTCTTTTACGTTTCTCTAGAGCAATGATGACAGGTTCCTCCTCTTGTGCGTTAGTGCCGCTGTAACACCTCCTGCCACCACAGTTACCCTGCCAACACATTATAGGGTGGGTTAGATACACACAGATACACACTATTACAATTACCACTACACATACACAGACATACACCTACACACAATCAGAGTACACACATGCTTATCAGAGAGAGCAAGGAGGGAGATAAGGCCATCCTTACTTGAAGATAATGGTTTTATCTGAGAGTTGACAAGTAGTTTTATTGAGGTTTAGAAAAACATAAACATTCTGTACCAAAAAAATATGATATTTTGTTTTTTCCATTAAAACGCTATTTTTTTTAGAATTACAATAAGAAACTTTAATTTAATTTATTAGGTTCAGAATAAAGAAAGAATTGACCATTGAGAAGCATTTCTTTAATACTGGATTACGTGGAATATTAAATTATTCTATTTTCAAGGATCATGACTGAAAGAGACATGCCTAGAAGGTCACCCTCAGAGGTCGAAAGGTGATGACCTCTCAACACTGACCCGTCCACACTGCTGCTGACATCCTGTGTTATCACCTCTACACCCCCTCAACCTCTCTCCCTCCCCAGTACACTCATCCACCTCTACCTCCAAAAAGTGAAGTCAGTCTTTATACAACAATTACTACACTCTTACTTATTTAAGTTACTCCTGTGAGCTTTATTGGTTGTAGTGGATGTGTGGATGTGGGATGTAGTGGATGTGGGATGTGTGGATGTGGGTTGTAGTGGATGTGTGGATGTGGGTTGTAGTGGATGTGTGGATGTGGGTTGTAGTGGATGTGTGGATGTGGGATGTAGTGGATGTGTGGATGTGGGATGTAGTGGATGTGGGTTGTAGTGGATGAGTGAATGTGTACTATCACCGCTTTCATATCTGTTCATCTGATGTAGTGGTGACCATTTCCTGAGAGAGCTTACTACTATATAGTCATCTCTCTCTCTCTCTCTCTCTCTCTCTCTCTCTCCACTCTCTCTCTCTCTCTCTCCTTCCTCCACTCATCTCTCTCCCTCCCTCTCACCTTTCTCACTTCTGTTCACTACACTCTGATAGCCATTACTGTACTAAATTACTATACATTTTACCATCACGCTATAATCCTCAGTCTGTCTGTAACATAACTCAAGAATACCATAAATTAATAAATCTCTCTAGACGGTAAAGATAAAGTGATAACCGTAGTAAAATTTGAATATATTTCTAATTTATTAACACTGTGTAGTAATGCAGATAATAATAATAATACTTCCTTATGCACTGTAAGGTATCAGGTATCAGGTATAAGGGTTTAATCTGTCTCTTTTGGTTTATCGATATTAGTTTTGTTGTTGTTTAGTCTGTAAATGTGTTTGTCTGGGTAATTAAACAATATGAGACACTTATCGCCTCCTCTCCTTACCTTGTTCCGTGAAGTAAGTTGATCACGTACAAAATTAATCAAAGTTTCCATGATGTTTGATCCTTTCTCCTCTTCCTTCATTTGTTGAATCCAGTTCTCTTCTTTAACTCTCCCTCTTGTTCTTCTTCGTTGTGGGGCGGAGAGAGTGAAATGGAGAAAGAGGAAACACAGTAAAATGATGGAGAGGAGACGTAGAGCAGAAGCCATGATGGTGTTGTGGTGAGGAACGCGGCGGGAACACTGAAGAAAGAGGCAGTGTTTAAACTCGGGTCTTATCTCAGTAGATGACCGTCCCGAGACACACACACACACACACACACACACACATTATCTCTCCAATTCATACGTACATACACACGTCAAAATACACACACACACATATCTAGGAATACACGTACACATTAGACCTACGTACACAAAACTCTTAAGATGGAAGATAATTATTATCTGAGTTTATCGTAATGTGTGATAAGACCAAGGCTGTGAGGGGGAGAGAGGGGGAGGAGAGGGAGAGGGCGTAAAGGGGGAGAGGGGGAGGGGAGGGAGGGAGGAGAGAGTATAAAGTTATTCACTTCACCTCTTAAATTTTATAAGGGGTGACACACACAGGGGGATGACACACATTAACCAAACACATTATCTTACATCCTGTGTTAATATTTACATCTACCATAAACTGGTCTACACACACACACACACACACACACACACACACACACACACACACAACAATTACTATAATACCCAAGAATGAAATAATTTACATAGCTTGAAGATAGAATATAAACATTACAGCTCTTTCTAAACAAATCTATAAAAACACCACTAAAAATCTAATTCCCATTTATCAATATTTATATACCTGAACTGTCTTTAACCTGAGTGAAGGTGTCTTAGTGAATGTCTGTCTGTCTGTCTGTATATCTGTTTCTACGTCTGATAAGTTAGTCCTGTAGTGGGGAAGGACGGGGAGAAAAGTGATAAATGGTTTTGTACGAGTTTACCCTGACAGTGTTTTGGTTTTCTATGATTGCGGAGGAAGAGAGGATGTGTGTGTAGAAGGGGGGTCTCTCTCTCTCTCTCTCTCTCTCTCTCTCTCTCTCTCTCTCTCTCTCCAGGTGTAGACAAAGTTACACTAGGTAGATGGATATACCTAACCTAAACCCAACCCATCACACAAGCGAATCTATGAACATCATTTAGCGTAACAGAACCACCTTCAGACGTCACCATCTTTGGTTATCTTTCGTTGATGGGGAATATTTTAATTAGTGATAGTTCCACCTCTTGTGCCTCTTCCTCCTCTTCCTCTTTATTCTTCCCCTCCTCCTCCTCTTTATTCTTCTCCTCCTCCAGGCAATGACGACGATAGAGAGTTTTAATAATGGCCGTCGTTACTATTTTGTTTAATCTTCCAGTTAAGAAAAAAAATCGACTATAAGTTTTGTTTTTATATGTTTTGGCTCCGTCTCCTTTCGTGAGAAGGATCTTGGCGGGCTGTGTGGGGTGGGTGGCCAGATTGTCGTCGTTTATATACTGGGGGAAGTCTACGTCTTTGGCCCGTTCCCCCTTCTCCCCCACCTTGGCGTGACTCCCACCTACTCTCTATAGATGACTCTCTGCCTCACTTCCTCACATGAATACAGAGAAAAAATATTAATATCAAGACGTTTTGACTATTGTTTTCTCCCCATTTCTCGTGAGTTTGGGAAATAAGAAAAAAAAAAGTCAACATTCCTCATTCTTATCCAGTAGAATGTTATGTGGAGTTGAATCATTCTAAATTACCTGAATGACTGTGTGTGTGTGTGTGTGTGTGTGTGTGTTTATTTCATCTGTTGATTAAATACCCAAACGTGAACCTGACTTAACCTAAACTAACCTAGGGTGTATAATCATCAGGTGAAGTTAACTTGGGTAGGATAGGGAGGGTTTAATCTTCAGGTGATCCCGAATGTAAGATATACCATACCACCTGGCAATCCCTGGTGTAATTAAGACTCAGGTAAAACACTTTCACCTAAACACCCTGTGAAAAAAAAAATATTAGAGCCATATTTTTTTATGTAATGAAAACAGACACTACACACCTAAAATAATTTAACTCCGTATACGTGAATATTAAACTAACTCAGCTATATTTAAAAACTAAACTAAACTAACGCTTGTCTTCCTTTAAACAGCTATTAATTACATAAAACTATATTATTACACACACAAATACACCAAACTAATTGTACATTAAATTAGGCTCGTTAGAACAATAACACCGTGACGTCATCAAGGTTCCCTGGTGGCGGGAACTTTTGTTGAGAAGATAAATATGTAAATAAACTCATAAAAAATACGGAAAATGACACATAATCTTCCTCACAATCACAAATAAACTGTGGATTAATTAAAGAGAGAGCAAGAGAGAGAAAGAGAAAAAAAACAATGTGTGATAAAGTGATTACCTCTCTCTCTCTCTCTCCAATCAGTCTAGACATTAACAGGACATCTCTACACACTAACGAAAAAAACTCACAGAAAAAACACCTTAAAACCCCCTCAATATACAAGAACTTAACACAGCTCCTCCTTAAAAAAACAAACGCCAAGCTGAGAGACGACAATACGTTAGTGTCCCCTACCAGAGGATGTAAGGAAAATCTAGGGAAAAAATAGAAAGAATACGGTAGGGGAAAAAATAGATAGAGGGAAGAATGAACGGGAGAAATTAAATTAAAGGATAAAAGAAGGAAAAAAATATACACACATAGGGGTTTAAGGAGAGACGAAAGAAGCTCCCTGTCCCTTTTCCCTACACACATACACACATATATATCCAGGAAATAATCATAAGAAAATGTTAATCTTTCTCTAGAGGTTCCAAACACTAGCACCAACACCCCCCAGCATAGTAAATAGAAGAGGTCACTACTCAGTCTTGGCTAGTTACCCCTTTCTACCTACTAGCGTCTTCCCTCATCCCGTGCTCTAAATCTTAACCCACCATAAAAAACGGGAATTTAACCCAATTTAGAGAGGGGGACTAATCTTCTGTTGCCGTATAAACAGATATACCAACGGAACAACGGGTAGAGCATTGATTTAGTAGTGTATATTACATCAGAGGCTAATTTATTCACCTGATGATTAATTCTACGCTAATTACTTTCACCTGGTTTAAACTACCTTAACCTAATCTAACCCAGGTAATAATTGGGTGTTTTAATCATCAGGTGCTGGGTATAATTTAGTGTTATTATCAGTACAGGTAGTGTGGGCCAGGTAGGGGAGGGGAGGGGGTGGTAGGGGAGGTGGATGGGGGGATGGGGAGGAGGGAAGGGAAGGGGGAAGGAGGGGAAGGGAGGGGAGGAGAGGGGGAAGGGAGGGGAAGGGGACCTACCTAAATTAAAGTTTCAACGTCGACTTTTGATAAAAATTGCCAACGCGATTATTTGCCGCCAAGCCATATGAGGGAGGGACACACACACACACACAGACACACACACACACACAAACACAGACACACACACACTCCCTCCCTCCCTCCTATATACCCCAGGTTGAATCCTCCACCCCTCCAACTCCCTCCAATGCCCCTCCTCTCCCTTACGACCCTATAGTACCCTCCAGCTTCACCCTCCACCTCACCTATGGCCTCTAACCTCTACCTCACCTATGGCCTCTAACCTCCACCTCACCCTATGGCCTCCTAACCTCCACCTCACCTATGGCCTCCCCAACACTCCACCTCACCTATGGCCTCCTAACCTCCCTCTATGACTTCTAACCTCCCACCTCACCTATAGCCTCTAACCTCCACCTCACCTATGGCCTCTAACCTCCACCTCACCCTATAGCTACAACCTCCACCTCACCCTATGGCCTCTAACCTCCCACCTCACACCTACTGGCCTCTAACCTCCACCTCACCTATGGCCTCCTGGCCTCCACCTCACCTGTAAGCCTAACCTCCACCTCACCTATGGCCTCTAACCTCCCACCTCACCTGGCCTCCTAACCTCCCACCTCACCTATGGCCTCCTAACCTCCCACCTCACCTATGGCCTCCTAACCTCCCACCTCACCCTGCTGGCCTCCTAACCTCTACCTCACCTATGGCCTCTAACCTCCACCTCACCCTGGCCTCCCTAACCTCTACCTCACCCCTATGGCCTCTAACCTCCACCTCACCTATGGCCTCTAGCCTCCTACCTCACCTATGGCCTCTAACCTCCCACCTCACCTGCTGGCCTGTAACCTCCCACCTCACCTATGGCCTCTAACCTCTACCTCACCTATGGCCTCTAACCTCCACCTCACCTATTGCCTCTAACCACTACCTCACCTATGGCCTCTAACCTCCACCTCACCTATGGCCTGTAACCTCCACCTCACCTGCGTAAAGGAATGGGAAGTGGACGGGGGAAAAAGGGAAATTCACTTACATACAATAGAGAATCTGGCCACTACATACACGGTATTTTTCTGCATTTCCCCTCACTCCTGTCCCCTCTGACACCCCTCTTACAGCAGAGAGAGAGAGAGAGAGGGTAGAAAGTAAGAGAGGGGGGGTGTAAGGGTGGGGGGAGTGAAGTATGACCCCCCCTTCCCCTCCTTTATTTCCCCTCAGTGCTGGTATGAGGGGACGAACTACTGTAGTATAGGGTAACTGTTTTCCCCCCCTCTCTCTCTCCCTCTCTTCACACCTTCCCCTCTATCGGGTAGATGGGGGGAGGGGTGGGGGGTAGGAGTCATGTTTGTGTAGGGATCCTTCACTTCCCCCCATAGTGAAGTGAGGGAACAAAGGGGAAAGGTGGAAAAGTAACGGGAGGGGAGGAAAGGTTGTTATATCCCCTCTCTTCCTCTCCCCTCCCTGGATCTCTCACCCCCCCATCTCCTCCCCTCCCCTTAGGAACTACCCTCCCCCACACACTCCTCCTATTCCATTTCTGTTCCATTCCTCCCCACATCCCTCCATCTCCCCCTTCCTACAAGGCCTATCTCCCCTCACCCTGGTAATATCTCCCCTCTCCCTCTGGGCCTATCTCCCCCTCCTCTAGGCCTCCCCCCACCACCAAGTAAGGGAGAGGGAAGACGTTCGAAAAATTACCATACGACTAATATGGTTGAGGTGAGGGGGGCGGAGTGAGCAGGCAAGTGAGGTGAGAGAACGAGGAGGAGGTGAGAGGTGAGGAGGTTAGAGAATCGAAGAGGACTGACACCACCACACACACACACACACACACACATACACAGGGACAATTTACTAATT